GACAAACTAATTGTCTTTTTGGTCATTCAATTTAACTTGCCTATTTTGGTACTCAAAATCGTCATTTTCAATCCTTTTAGTTTAAAAAAATTTTCGGGGCAGGGGGCGGCCCCCCTCCACCCCTCATATTTTCGCTCCCGCAAGATTGAAATTATGGCTACATCCCTGATGGCAGGGAGAGCATTTAGAACAAATATGATTTCAAATTTGTAGTGAGTAGTGTTCTACTCCAGTTGCATGACCTTGATGTAAAAAATGTATTCTTCTTCATGGTCCATTTGGATGATTGCAAAAATAGATGGATCAATTTCTTGTTGAAAGTGAGGATGGGAGCTGTTATTTGTATGCCAGTTTCATTTGTGTGGCGTGATATTTGTACTTACTGTCTTAGAACATTTCATCAAATTATTAGCATTATACTTCAATAAATTCTCAAATTCCACTTGCATCTTCTAATTGTATAGTAGCATTTGCCCTATGGGAATGAAGAATGAGTATATTTAAGAAAATAATGATTGAAATGCATGAAAATATGATGAGTGTTAAAAGTTATTTGTATAAGGTTACCTATTGGAATAACTTGTATTAAGTGTTACATGGATACAGCCTTCGCAGAAGAATGTTCGCAGTAAATACATGGGAAAGTTTTACCGAAATCAGCATGAGTGACTTTATTGCAATTGTTACAAAACATGTAGTTGAAAGTTTTTTTGTTGATTTGACGGATGGTTTAGCTTTGATCTAGTAGTATTTATGTTGTGGAAAAATCTAATATTGAGATAAAGAAATAATATAAATGTATTCATAAAGGATATGAAACATACATTGTATTTGCACAATGAAGTGAAATGAGTTACTCTTAGTAGTTGCCCTTTGAGATTTTGTATATGTGTAAATTTTTTGTGTGTTGGAGAAGATAACTTAGTGGGGGTGACTGTACGATGTGGTTTCTCCAATGCAATGTGTTCGTGAAATTTCGCAAGTGTACGGATCGTGACAATTAATAAAATGGATTTATTAAGTCCAAATATCGTCCCACAAAGACTATTATCTACTATAAATTTTTAAACTAACGTAACTTCAATTTAAATTAAGATATTAACTAATGATCAAATCAAGTTATGTTTTCCAAGCGAAATTCTAATAAATAAAATAACAAACTATTAATTAAAATAACAAACTCAAATTAAAACCGTAGAAAAGATTATGTGATTGGATAGTTAGGATTTTAGATTTCACTTAGGTTATTTATCATNTCCAAGCGAAATTCTAATAAATAAAATAACAAACTATTAATTAAAATAACAAACTCAAATTAAAACCGTAGAAAAGATTATGTGATTGGATAGTTAGGATTTTAGATTTCACTTAGGTTATTTATCATACATTTAATTCCAATTTATTCAGCCATTTTTCATACGTGCCAACGATCGAATTAACCTAATGTCGTTAGTGATCTCTCTCGAGTAATACTAATCATATTCATATGCCCGAACTTATTATATCTCTATATAAATTCACACACATATGAACGCATTTATCTATAGAAATTCAAGAAAGATCGCACACCTTATAATTATATATCGATCCCTTATAATGTTTATATTAATTATTGCACGAACTAGAATTATACATCACCTATTGGTCTCATTATTATCTCTAAATCAATTAATTGTTTAAACACACAATAATTAATTAACAAGTATTAAAATTGTATGAAAATCTTGAAATTAAATATATAATAAAAACTTTAAGCTACATCATCAATTCTAACAATAAAAATATTTAGTCGCTCATAATATTGAATTTAAATATGCAAAAGTAGAACGTACACGCAAAAGTGGAAAGACATCACTAAAATTTAACGAAACGTGAAACTGTATTTCTCAATTTCAGCCACTTTCTGCCCAGAACAGCTGCCGACTTTTTGCACGTGAAAATAATATATTTTCAGTCACAAATTTTTGTCCACCGTGTGCATGATTTGTATATATATAATTCAATTTCAGCCTCTCTGTTTTCTCTTCCCTTCCAGCCACTATAGTTGACTCTTTCTTCTCCTCTTTTGTTTTCTCAATTGGCTTTTGTCTTTTCCTCTGTGTGTATATGTTTTATGCCCAACTTGCAGCCGCTTTCTCCAATGCGTGTACCGGTCTCTCCCCTTTTGCCCTTCAAGCTACTGATTTGTATGTATACAATATAATATGATTGACGACTGTCAATGTGTAGTCCAATTTTTAGAAGCCCAAATTTAGGCCCAATAAATTCTAATACCAAATCAAATTAATTTTTCTTTCCAAGCCCAAAAACTTTCATATAATGAAAGTTAATCCTTAAAACGAATTTATTTGTGCATCACATGCCAATTTAGTCCTCGTACTATGAATTTTTTCCATTTTTCCTCTATTTTGCATTAATTTCTTCAATTCTTCATTAACATAAAATTGTACCTACAAAATATAATTTAACATAAATTAGGTAGAATTTAATTCAAAAAACAATAAAATATCATGATTTAGCGCCTCGAATGAGTATAAAAATTACACTTATCACAATGTCATTTAGTTCTTCATTATGTGCTTCAATCCTTGTAGTAAATGATTAAATAAGTAAAAAGTGGACAATTAGC